GTTTTGAACTACGCAGCGCCAGTGTGGTCGCTGGGGACTAGTAGGACGCAGTGGACGAAGGTATAGACTGTACAAAACACCGCACTCAGGACAGCGACGGGATGCCTCTTAATGTCGCCTGAACACCACCTGCACGGCGAGGCGCAAATGCTCCCGGTAAAGGAGCATAATATAATGCTCTGCAAGCAGTTCCTGATCGGGAGCCACAGAAGTGGCCACCCAAGCAGACAGCTGCTTGCCGAGGAGCCCTCGCCTAGGCACGTCAGGAGGCATCTATATGAACTAACGGACGAAGTCCAGAGGTTCATTAAGCAACCTCTGGACCCGACAGCTTACAGACAGGCCCTGAACGGCATTCACAGGGACTCAGTCTCGAGTTATGTAGACTCTAGACCTGTGAATGCCGTTTTAGGCATACCACCCCCGGACATAGACGAGACGGAGCTTCATCTGCCTCGGGAGACACGCACTACACTCGCACAACTTCGCTCCGGCTACTGCAGCAGGTTAAACTCCTACTTGAGTAGGTTGAATGAGGATGTGCCGAACGAATGTCCGGCATGCGGAGAGACCCCACATGACTCGAAACATCTCTTCGCATGCCCGGAAAACCCGACAACCCTAACGGCCTTGTCCCTATGGGCAACCCAGCAGAAGCTGCACGCTTCCTAGGGTTGCAGTTAGTGGAACTTGACGACAACGACTGAGATACCAACCGATCTGGGCGGGGTTGTTGTAGCCGCTACAACAACAACAACAACAAATTTTATATGACACAGCGTAAATAACTAAAAACATTAATTTAAACAATTTTAATTTTTTATTTGTATTATTTTGTTGAACATGAACGAAAAATAAACAGCAATTTGTATTGTATTTGCAATACAGTGAGTGGAAGATCGACCTATCCCGGCAGCCAGTTCGAAAACGTCCTCTCTCAGAACACTTTTCAAAAACGTCCTATTTCAGAAATATATTGAAAAACGCCCTATCTCTGAAAACGTTTCAAAAGCACCCTATTTCATAACTCGGTTCAAAAACGCCCTATCTCAACATATTTTCAATAGCCCGTAGTCATAGTCAAAATAAAGTCGACTTTAAAGTTAGTTGCAGCTTTTTGACATAATTTTCAATGGGATATCTGTCAAAAAAGCTGCAACTAACTTTAAAGTCGACTTTATTTTGACTATGACTACGGGCCAATATATTTTCAGGTGAGATAGGACGTTTTTGAACAAAATTATGAAATAGGGCGTTCTGGAAAATTTTTCTGAGATAGGGCGTTTTTCAATCGATTTCGGTAATAGGGCATTCTTGAATAGTTTTCTGAGATACGGCGTTTTCGAACTGGCTGCCGAGATAGATCGATCTTCCACTAAGGTGTTGATATGTGTATTTCGTCATTAGTAACGATATGTATATTTATTCATTAATTAGAGAACAATTTCAACCTTTGAAAGGTTCCCACAAAACTTTACGGTTTTAAAGCATTCCTGGCACTTTGGTGTGGTATCAGTAATTTTGTAAAAATAAATCCATACTTTAGATTTTGGCGGTGTCATTACTTAAAGCAATTATTTTTCATAAAAAACGACGCTGCCAAGATATGGCACTTGCTCAAATCGATTCGATACAAGTACTTTTCTTTCGATACCAAGTATGAATCGATACAACGATTCGAGTAAAAAAAGTAGTTGGTATCGAAACAAAAGTATCGAGTACGTACTCGTATTTACTTGTATCGGAACACCCCTAATTGCCATTGCCGCATTCGTCCGCGTGTGAAGAGCGTGTTTTTTCTATGCAAAGTTTAATTAAAACCAAACGTAGAAACAAATTACAAATAAGTACCTGCTCAGCTTTAGTTCAAACTAATGACTTAATACAAAATAACGATAAAGATTGCTTTAATTTTAATTTATCTGATCTAAATAATTTTAATTTAGCCTCTAATTTTCTAGATGATGATATACTCTTGCACCCCTATTCTGCAACTCTTTCGTATTCGGATCTTGCTACGAATCGTAGAAATAGTATGCTGCAATCCGAATCGTATTTTCGAAATTCGTAAGAATGGCATGCCTTAAAACGAACGAGTAAGCTTTTTTGCGTAATTTTGAACGAAAACAATTCGGAGGCAAAATAAAAGATTTAAATCGATGTGTGTTTGCAAGAAATATTGGTTGTGTTCATTTAAACAGATAAATTTGCCTTTCGCATATACATACGTATATTTTTATCCACTGCTTTATATAAACGAGCAAAAAAGAATCTTTGCCCCTTATCGAGAAACTTTGGTTCAGTTATTTGAACGACGATATCTTGTTGTTGTGTCCAAACGCATAATGGTGCATTTACATGGTATGAAGCCATATGAACTGTTGATACGCTAAAATAGAGGGGCTACATGTTCTTATGAGGAATTCAATGATATCGAGTGGGATGCATATAATAGATTTTTTCATATGAAAAATTATGGGGAGATACTGTAAACATACTGTTGTGATACTGTTAAGCATATGAAATTATAGCAAGTTGGATTTTTATACTTCTTCCCATAAAAAGTTTAACAGATGCACAGATACCAACGAGGTTTTTTCCCATTTTGATGCCTTTTTTAATATAAAACCCACCGAAAAGGAGGAAAGCGGCAACTCCGCCATTCACATACATGTCAAATATAGCAATTTTAAAAATTAAAAACAATGAACAAACAATTTCAAAACAACAAAAAATCTTTGTACTAGATCTTTTTCAATAGAAACAATTCACGTATGGTGGACAATACAAATACAAAGCGCTATGATAACAAGACATTACACAACATTTTAATGAGCTTTATATCACATTTAAGTAAAAATGAGCCTATATTTTCCAAGCTTGCAAAGAAATGAAATGTGTATTTTTTGTTGTTTACAAAAAGACTTGCCAAATATACATATAAGTCAAAATTATAGAAGGTATGTATACTTCTCCCTTTTATTTTTTCATACAGTTGATGCTTCTTTCTGGATTTTACAAAATACAGGGATACCACACTTATTTCGGTACAATATGATCGTAAGGTATTTTCAATTCGAAATTAAAGAAAAAACATCCCACGAAAATGTTTGCCGTTGTAGAACAATAAGTGTATATTTGTAAACTAATGCAAAGAATGGAGTGTCATATCTTAAAAGGTTGGGAGAATTAATGAAACAAACAAACATTTTACGGTCTTATGTTTCCTTCAAACCGCATTGCTAGTTTTTCTAACTCTTCCTTTTGTTTAGCGCTGTAACCGCTTAAGTTATATTATTTAATTTATACATGTGAGTTATTTTCAATGAGCATTTTTTCATTTGCTCCTGAACTTTGGGAACATTTCCTTTTAGTACCTCTCATTATTTTTTATATTACATATCGATAGCTGAGTGCAAGATCGACCTATCTCAGCAGCCAGTTCGAAAACGCCCTATCTCGTTCCCACGACAGTCGGGTCTACGTAACCGGAACGACCCAGATAGATATATATCTGGCCAAGGACTGCCACCACTCCAGCAACACTCCCCAAAATCTCTTTGGGGAATTTGTATGCTGTTACAACAACAAAACGCCCTATCTTAGAAAAATTCACAACAACGCTCTATCTCAGAAAACTTTTCAAGAATGCCCTACTTCAGAATTTGATTGAAAACACCCTATCATAGCTGCCGATTCAAAAACGCCCTATCTCAGCTTATTTTCAAAGTATTTTCGTTTGAGATAGGGCGTTTTTGAACCGGATTATGAAATAGGGCGTTATTCAACTAAATTCTGAGATAGAGTGTTTTTCAATAAAATTCTGAAGTAGGGCGTTTTTGAAAAGTTTTCTGAGATACGGCGTTTTCGAACTGGCTGCCGAGATAGGTCGATCTTCCACTCAGCCATCGATATATACACTCCGCTGTTAGCTGTCGCTCCTCTATTGGTAATAGTAAACTTCCGAGTGTATTCTGTCATGAAAACAACCTCTCATAAAAATACAACTGCCGTTCGGAGTCGGCGTAAAACTGCCCTTCCCCTTTGTGTGACAAAATCACGCCCCATATGGGAGGAGAAGCTAGGCCAAACACTAACATATTGGCCCGTAGTTATAGTCAAAATAAAGTCGACTCTAAAGTTAAAAGCAGCTTTTTGACATAACTTTCAATGGGATATCTGTCAAAAAAACCTGCTTTTAACTTTAGAGTCGACTTTATTTTGACTATAACTACGGGCCATTGTGTATGCGCCAATCTCTATATCGTCGTTTAAAGTAAAAAATCGCGTATCGTGTTTCTGAATACCTCGTAACTGACATTTGTGCCAAAAAAAGATATTTGTTCACCGGAAGCTCCTATCATCAAGCCCTTAATCATTTATACTAAAATTTCGATACTTAGACATAAGAAGAGATAATTAAGTTTAAAAGAGGGAACCGTTTTGAATTATGACAAATTTTACTCTCTCCTATAAAATTTAGGCAACCTCACATACAAGGTTTTGCATTTTCTTGATGCGTGGTTTTGTACTTTAAATGACGATATGTAAAAGTATTGCATATATATTTTGGTGCCTTTTCAAGTATAAAATCCATTGAGAAAGGAAAGAAAACGGCATCCCTATGATTTCAACTTATGTGTTTTTAACGTTTTTAATATGAAAGACAAAAAACGCAAACAAGCAATTTCTGAACAAAAAACTGTTTATCCACAAAGATGTTTGAATGGAAGCATTACACATTTGAAAAAATAGCAAACCGCAAGGCTTTATTGGCAGTAGATCCTTTTTAAAGCAGATTAAAACTAAAATAAGCTTCTAGTTTCGAAGTTAGCACAAAATGAAATTTTTTTGTTTGTTTACAAAAAAATACTTGCCAAGTATATAAGTCAAAAATGTTAAATATATACCGCTTTCATTCATTTCTTTATAGAGTTGGTGCTTCTTTTATAGGAAAATTCATACGGCTTATGAACAAATTCATACCATGAAAATGCACCATAACCCGAATCCAAAAACTTTAACATACACGTGTAATCAAAGGATTCACATTTTATTTAAGATAAATGTTTCAAATTTCCTACCACTAGCTTATTAATAAACTCGGTTTGCACTATGCCCTTTTTTGCAAATTTCGACGTGGGTTCTGCGCATAAATACAGTGGACGGCGTAGCCGGAGTGATATGCACAAGAAATGTTGTATACCTTTGACCTGCGGAAGCCCCTCTTCTCCGCAATACAGAAAGGAGAATTCTACTTAGTAAGGGTTATAATCCCTAAGCGCGACCGAAGGCAGAAGCAAGCTCAACAGGTGGTGGACCTAACAAAGTGCATGTTTTCAATGGCTTGGAAGAAGCTGTTATTGCATTAACTGGGTTGGGAACCAGTTCTTCAGGCATAGGAGGAGTTCTGGCTTGTGGTTCAACACCATTGCCATAGCGCCCGCTTACTCTGCTGCTATAATTGCAAATACATCAGAATCCATAATTTTCCTCAAAGTATGTAAAATTAACCAATTTTACAATAAAGAAGCACATGATGAGTGTTTTTTTAATTCCTTTCCACTTTGTTTTCTTTCATTCGGCTATCTTCGAAAAACAACTGATAGCTGGCAATGCTGCACATGTTTCCGCAAGGGTTGCAGCATGTGGGTTTTTAGTTTTTCGTAGCGTAGCTACGAATTACGAATTACGAAAATTCGGGTTCTAGAATAAGGGGGTTGGTCTAGAATACACCTGATCATTTGTTTGCGTGGTTTTTCCCTGCATGAGTTATTTTCGCACTGTTTTGGTTTCGATTTTTTAATCAATATAATACAGAACCTTTCTGATAAGTTTTTTAAAGTGAATTGAACTTACTTGATTTGAATTTTCAGTTTTAAAGCTACAAATTTGTGTTTTTAACGGTTGTTTTGGTTTCCTGTAAACCGTGCGAAATAAGAATCGGGTGTAAACAAACAATGTGGAATTCAGTAATTTATTTTATATATATAACATAAATCAATTTTTGTACGCAAAACCTACATGTATGTGATGATAAACTTAAGATCTCATAAACAATGTAATTGCTGTTATTTTTCATGATGCAATAATGAAAGGTGTTATACGTTGGCAACTTCTCGCTCTAATCCGCCATTTTGAACTACCTTAGGAGAAACCGTGTTGTTTCTTTACTAATTTCACTGAACATTTCCCAAAATATTAGAAAAAAATTCTAATCGAGCTACATTGATTCAATTTACGTTGTTCGTTTTGTTCTTATTCGCTGACATTTGTTTTCTAATTACGTGAAATTTGGTGAGTATTGTAATAAAAAGATATTATTTTACAATTAAATTATAATTTTGCATTTGTTAGGTTATTTCCTTAGCGTTTTCCTGGCCGACCTGTGCTGGTATTGTGATTAAAAGCTAATACACGTAAGTTACAACATATTATTTTGACTTTATTGATGAACCATTCCATTTGCAGCATTCTCTGGTGAACTGCAGCTGGGGCCGAACTTGATTGTATGGAACTTTGTTCTTTTGTTCTTTGTTATTTCAAAACCGAATGAACCATTTATTCGCAGATTTTATGGACGATTCTGCTGTGCTGCGTTCCTGCTCCGCCTGTGTATTGCTCCGCCCGTGTTTTACAGTGTTGCGTTCCTGTTGCGCCTTTGCATTAGTGTGTGCGTTGTGCTTTAGACACGTTGAAGTAAGTTGAAACCAGGTTTTTGTTAGTTAAAAACCTAAAAAACCATTTATTTGCAGATTTTTTGTATGCTTCTGCTGTGCTGCGTTCCTGCTCCACCCGTGTATTAGATTGCTGCGTTCCTGTTAATATACATATCGCCGTTTAAAGCACAAAATCGCGTATCGTCCTTAACCGCGTAACTTACATTTGATGCTAAAAATTCGGATTTGCTCACACAAGCTCTTGGCTCAATCCTTATCCATTCTACCTATTATACTAGCCAAAAATGGGATTGCTTTTTAAAAAAGATGACCATTTTGAAATATAAGTGTTTTTACTCTCTAGAAAATGATGACATACATATATTGACATAGATATATATACAAAATTAATGATGTGTACATAATTTTTTTTTATATTGAAACTAGATATGTATATAGTATGTTATTATCATTATTCGGTTTAAAAAAGTCCTATCTCAAAAAAGTCCTATCTCAAACGAAAATACATTGAAAATGTGCTGAGAAAGGGCGTTTTTGAATCGTCAGCTGAGATATGGTGTTTTTGAACCGAGTTCTGAGATAGGGCGTTTTTCAATGAAATTCTAAAATAGGGCGTTTTTCATCTAAATTTGGAAATAGGGCGTTGTTAAAAAGTTTTCTGATATCGGGCGTGTTCGAATTGGATGCAGAGATAGGTTGATTTTCCACTCAGCCATCGATATATAGTCGCATTTTTCGTTATATGGAAGACGAATAAACACAATTTGTTTTTATATCGATTCTAAAAAATCAATGGTAATTTTTAGCCACTTCAAACTTGTATTTAATTAGACTAAAGTTGAAGGGGCTATAAAACTGAGTGTTCAAAAAAATTCAAACAATTCTGAGAAAAAAGTTTGAATTTTGTGTGAAAATTTGTTGTATTTTTTGCAGCTTTGTACCATGGTGGAATAATAACAAGGTGTTGTCAGTAGCGACGTGTTTGTTGTAATTTTGACAAGATCGGCATACTTATTTTCAGTGCTGCCGATCTTAATTTTTATGCTACTACTCGTTGGGAAATAGTATCTTTGGTCTTTTCAGATGGATATTAGTATTTAAAATTGATCGATTTATATGATTTTTGTCCTCAAAATGTAAAAAATAAAAGATATCGTGGTTATCAATGGAAAAAGACGTACACAAAAATCGTATGGAAAGGCGATTTTTATATTAAATAACTTTTGCTGCATTGTCATAATACTGAGCCAAATGGACTACTGATACACCTGAATAGAGTGACTGCATGGTTAAATTAGGAATTCGCTTATATTATCGATATTTATGTGTTTTAATCTATTTTAAAAATCATTTACACTCTAATAGGAAATTTCCTTATTTTACCGCCTTTACTTTGTGAAAGTTACAATATATGTCCAAGCTGTGTGGAGCTGCCGATACAAACATATATTCAGGCTTATAAGCCTGTAATTATACATCTTTCTACATTTAATTTGAAATAGTATGCACCAACGGATTAAAAGTAGTAAATAATTAATCTCTTTTCTACTACTTTAAAATGCGTGACCGGAATAGACCTGCCGAAAAAGTGAGGTTAAGTAACTGACAACACCTTGTTATTATTCCACCATGGTTTTCTACGAAGTTTTAAAATTGGGTTTATATGTGTTGTTAGAAAATGAACTGTATTTTTATTGTAAATTCCTAGAAATAAATAAATAAAAATGAGTGGGAAATATTATCACTTTGAAATGGGTTGCTATTGATATGACCGATACTGTATGTATATAATAAATTTTGTACAATTAAAAATTAAAGTGGATTTACTAAAAGGAACACAACGTATTAATTATAAATTCTGAAATATATCGTTAATTTCAAAAACAAATAAATAAAATATTAAGTATTCAATGCTTGCTATATGATACGAATTTGGATATATGTGAACTTGGGTAATGTATAATTCCTTATATGATTCCTCAAAGTATCCTTTGTGGAACTAAAAAAAAACCTATAGTGCGAATATATCAGGTTTTAATAGCAGTTGGCCATACCAATAACGCCTCATACTCAGATTTACTAGATCAATTCGTGTTCTCCGAGAAAAAAAATGTTCACGATCCAAAAATCTGAAAAATCTTTTTTCTCCAAATTTTGAACATTGCTCGTTTTATGGCCAATACAAAGCAGTTATAGGCCAAAAAACGAAGAATTACCAAATTTTTAGAAAAGAATTTGGCCGCTATACTCAGATGTTTGAGTCGTGAATTCTTTTTTTTTTTCGAGAACACGAATTGATCTAGTAAAACTGAGCATGAGGCATTATTGGAATGGTCAACAGCTATCAAACTTGATATATGCGCACTAGAAGCCCATATAAAAGAGGGGGAAAAAGATCATACGTAAATGAATTTCTCTATTTGCCCTGTACAATATAAGGGAAACATTTCGAATTCATAAGGGATACTTTTCTTAGTGATGCGGCACATATAAGGAGTTATGAGCCATACTGTTCTAGCTGGGTATTCATCAGCTCAAACATTTTAAGCATATTATCATATTCCTGCGAATGGAAACACGCCTAATTTTATTATTGTAATTACAGTGGTCGTCCAGTATAACGAATGCCTATATAACGAACGCTCCAAATAATGAATGCCTTTTTAAATGGATTGATTACTCTAAATAACGAACGGTTGAAAAAAGGAGTATTCTATATAACGAACATATGTTTACTTTATGTGCTTGAATGACATGATTTAACATGATTTTTGCGTACGTGGAATTACCATCAGTTCAAAAGAATAACTTCTCACAAGTGGTCGCGTTTATTGAACTGGAAAAATACTTCCGTCACATAAACGTTTGTTATTTATTAGGGTGAAAAAATTATGTAATATATAGACTAATTTTATTGAATTCTCATAATGAAATTTCAGTTCGATTTGACGTACTTTTCTATATAGCGTATGAACCCAGACATTATATCATTCGTTATACTGGACGACCACTGTATCTACAAATTTATGAGACTACCAAGCCATATATATGTTACCGGCCAAACCCGATTTTAGGACAAACTAGTTTTGCCTAGGCTAAACTAGAAAAGGGCCACAGTATTTTTGAGCAGAACAGTTTTCCGCGTAGACGCTGTTGAGAAGGCTTTTCTTCCCGTTTTTCTTGTACTTCCAAAATACGATATTGACCTAAGGTAGTTCGATTTCGAGCTGTCACAACGTACAACACCTTTCATTATTGCATCATGGTTATTAACCGACTTCCAAAAAAGGAGGAGGTTATCAGTTCGTCGGAAATTTATTTTTTTTTTATAAATTTTTTTTTTTTTTTATGTTTGTTACCGCATAACTTTGGACCACGTCAACCGTTTGCATCGGAAAGGTAGTGTCTCAGAGGTGGTCCCATACTAATCTGGTTGAGATCCGATCAGTGGATCATGAGATATATATATATATATTTTTTTTTATATGAGAGTAGAAGTCGGTTTTTTTTTGCTAAAAATTACTTGTTTTTCAATAAAATTGAATATACTCATGTACGAATGAAGTTGAAATTACTTTCATTTTCCGAAAAGGTACTTTTGGGATAAAAAATGTACAATTTTTATGCCAATTTAGGTACCCTCAAAAAAATGCAAATATGTACTATGGTCCAGAGGTTGTTTGATGAACCTCTGGACTTCGTCCGTCAGTTCGCAGAGGTGCCTCCTGACGTGTCTGGGCGAGGGCTATTCTGCAACCAGCCGTCTATTTGGGTCACCACGTCTACTAGAAACTGCTTTCAGAGCATTGTGTTATGCTCCTTCATGGGGAGGATATGGGCCTTGTCGTGTAGGTGGTGTTGGGTGCGACATCAGAAGGCTTCCGGTCTCAGTCCGAAGTGCTATGTTCTGGCAGGTCTGTAGTACCCGGCGACCCCACGGGCGCTGAATAACTTACAACCGGCCGGCCAATGGCAGCAACGTTTATTTGTCCTTGCCTCAAGTGCTGTCGGCCAGCGACTTAGGAGCTTATTGCGGCTCTGTGCTCTGTTGACAATTACAGTTGTATGCGCCGAGAAGGAGAGCAGACTGTCGAAGGTGACTCCGAAGGTTTTTGGGTTATTCACCGTCGGTATTGGCTCACCATCGACGTGAATACCCAGTTGCAGTCTGACCTCCTTCGTCCAGGTGGTGAATAAAGTTACCGAGGATTTCGTAGAGGAAATGGTTACGCTCCTTGCAGGAACGAAACGAGAAAGCTCGGTGAGATACCCGATTACTTTCGAGCTCAAGTCATCAATTCCCACCCCAATTGCGAATGTCGACTGGCAGTAGATAAACGACTATTAAGCGATTATCGATGCTATTGCGAGTGTCGCTTGGTCGCTCAATTAGCGACTGTGAATACTTTTTAATCGCTCATCCTTCTATTGCTGTTATTTAGTTGTTGGAGTTTGCGTTTCTAAAATTTTNCACCCCTATTGCGAATGTCGACTGGCAGTAGATAAACGACTATTAAGCGATTATCGATTATCGATGCTATTGCGAGTGTCGCTTGGTCGCTCAATTAGCGACTGTGAATACTTTTTAATCGCTCATCCTTCTATTGCTGTTATTTAGTTGTTGGAGTTTGCGTTTCTAAAATTTTCATAAGAAAGTGGTACTATAATGGATAAAATGTAAGTCAATTGAACTGGAAGTTGTAAAAAATTGTGAAATATAATCAAAAATTATAATCAACAAAAGGCAACTGGCGCGGTTGGTCGTGCAGATGCAGGAGAGTGACGACATAGGCAAAGGAATTTCCGGAAAGAGTAGGGGAGGAAGCTCTGCTTCTATTGGGAAAGACATATACAATATTTCTTGTGCATATAACTCCGGCTATGCCATCAACAGTCTTTTGCACAGAACCAACATCAAAAGTTTACAAAAAAACTGCATAACTTATTTATTGACTAGTGCTCGGAAATTTGAAATCTTTATTTTAAATTAAAGTTGAATTCTTTCACTACACTTGTATGTTAAAGTTTTTAAACTCGGGTCACGCGTTTGGACACAAATACCCAACATCATTGTACAAATATCTAAACCGTATGGTATTTCTTAAACTTCCATTAAGTTTATTAATGAGGAAAACAGCTTTTCCTGCAAATCATGTAAAGCCTAAGACCCGTGAAGCATCGGGAACGCAACTTCTATTCATAAAACTCACATATGTACATACACTTCAGCTTCCAATTCCAAGAGATCCGACGAATCCCGCAATTCCCTCATTGCTTTAGCCAACTCTACTAATCTATTAGCTTCCACATCATCCTCCTCATCACTAAACCATATTTCAACTGTGTCCATTTTTTAAATTTTATAA